AGCGTGGATATCTGCCACCTCTGGCTTTCACTGTGTTGTACTATTCAGCCTTCACCAGAAGATGGCAGTAAACGTACTGGTTTACATCATTTAATGCAATATTCCTCTCCTAGCTCCTCCCATATATTGCCAGAACAGAGTGTTTCACATCCCCCCTTTTTTCAATTCCCCAAATAGAACCAAAGGGAAGAATGACCCTAAATACACACCCACATATATGCATAATAGTAGCATCTCTAACAGAAACATGAAAGGATAATTGACCACAACCAAGTAGCAGTGGAACTAGTCACTGCATGAGCTCATACAGAAACAACAAGTGCAAAGTATTCCATACAAGTGACAGAAGCATAAACTATAAATATAAAATGATGACAAAAACCCTATAAAATCACGTGTTTACAGTGACTTTTTGATCCCTAGACAATTTAAACTACACAGTTAAAACTGCATAATTTAAATGGAGAATTTTAAGTGCTCTATTTTCTAGTAAGACTTTTTGTAACTATAAACAACCCCTTTGAAACTGGTTCAAAGGACTTTTTTATGGTCAACATTTAAAAAGAACAACTGTACACAAGTGGAGACTGTGAAAAGACACAATGGAAACAAGCAGAATAGTACACTTGAAACTAGGAAGAGGAGACACCTGTTTTACACAAAAGGATGTGGGAGTCTGAAACATGGTTGTCAGCCATGGTGAAACACGGTAGTCAAAGATAATTGTAATGCTGCTAAGGGTTGTATAGTTGATGGGCAGTATTTTCCTGTGCACTTCATGGATTTTTTAAGGTTTTAACTGTACCAAGATAGCCACATAATGAAACTGGAATACAAAATGGAGGCATGACTTAATGCATGGAACAGGGCACAGGTGCCTACTCTTTTCCAGACAATATAAGTCAAATGCCGATTTCTTCGAGAGAGAATCTACTATGAATTGAAAAAGTTGTGAACTGTGGTGGAAGCTGCCAGACAATTATTTATTTATTTTAGCGAGAGCTAATTAGAGGAGTTGTGGTAGCTCTAATGTCAAGGGTGTCTACCTCCTGACTGGAAGGTCCTGGGTTCAATCCCAGGTAGAGGCATGTGATGTAGCTTGCTCTAGTTCCTTTCAGACAGCTCCCAGGTCCACTCAACCTGCTTTCCAAATGAGTACGGGGGGTTAATCCTTCTGGGGGAAATAGGGTGGCCAAAGCATGATGCTGACCACATCACCTCCACTTCCAGTGTTGGATAGCCAAGAAAAATGGTGGCCCTTGGCCCCCATTCCCAATGGGCCTTTATGGCCTGAAAAGGGACCTACAGTTCCTACCCATGAATAATTGAGGTAGATGCTTGATTCATGAGTTAAGACTTACTTTGGTTTATTATTTTATTTGTTGTTTAAAATAAAATATGCCATGGGTGTGTTTTGTCTTGTGACCTGCTTTTGACGTAATTCATTTGATGACCGCCCCTCAGTGGTATCACATAATACACTGGCTTTTTAAAAAACGTTCTGGATAAGAATCTTGGATCAGTTAGCTACATGTCACGGATCTCACTAATCAGACACAAGCCCACAAAAGCCGACACACGGATCTCACTAATCAGTCACAAGCCCAGGCAACTTCCCACAAACACCGACGCACAACCTAATTACCCAACCATGTCCCTCATCCTGCATCACTCCACGCCTCTCAACATTCACTACTTAAGGGCTACTCACCTACACTCCCACACTTAGTATTGAGTTAACCCTCACCGAGTTACCTTTACTTCGACTTTTCCATCTAAGAAATCCATTGTCCTGTGCTTTTGGCTTTTTGACCCACACTTGACCTCAACCACGAATACTGTCTACGTGACTTGGGGAAGTAAACCTGGCTCCGCTCACTAAAACCTCTCCACATTATTTTTAAGCATTTTATCATAAATTTAATGTATAAGCTAATGAGTACGATTCATTCTTTGTCTATCCCACATGGTTAGGATGATTATCTTTCATGAACCCAAAGGTGAGTGATCAGATCAATATGGGACCTGTACACTCTCTGGCAGGTTGAGCAAGTGTTATCTTGAGAGATATCTGGTCATGTATTGCTCAGTATGGTCATGGTGATCTCTCTTTAATGATCTTTCTTTGCTACCTTCATCTGACACCTTTGTGCCTCAAAGTCCTGAGCTCTTCCCCAGATATTATTCCTCCATCTGGTCCAGTCAAGAGCTATAATCTCAAGGTGATGAAAAAGGGTTTCTTCTTCTTTGATTTTAGCATATCATTTCAATCCATCAATGAATCACACTGATGGAGATTTGTGCGTTCTGAATGTTAAGTCTAAGTCCCATCATCTCCTAAGTTCTGGTAAATGTGTTGACAATTGTCTGGAGATCCATTTCTATCAAGATACATACTGCAGTATCATCAGTATAGTGGAGCACAATAACAGAAGCTGGGGTGGTTTTAGCTTTGGACCAGAATGGTTGGAGATTTAATAATTTACCGTTGGAGCATGCCATTTAGAATATATTGAAAATTGAGCTGGCACTGCCTTCTTTTGGACTTCTTTTTGTATTTCAAAGGTCTCTATAATGAAATCCATTAGTGAGGCTTACTGCATTCACAACATCTTGATGCATAATAATACTATAGCTACCCATCTGAACTATATACAGTACAGTAGTATCGTTGACAGTGAATTCTTCAAACTGCATCTTCTGAAGGACATTGATTGCCTTCATTTACTTAGGATTTTAACAGGTCTTTGAGCGCTGGGACAGGAAGCAGTTCTTGTAGATGTGAAAAAACTACAGATATTGATTAATTTCCTTTGTACTGCTTGTTCTTTGTAACATAAGATTTCCATTGAACCTCTGTCTCTGCTTGTTGGAGGGATAGCTTTTTATGGTATAATGTTGAGATTTCAGGCATTGGAGATATTTGCCTAGAGGTTGTCCCATGTGGTACTGTATGTACACTTCTGTTCCTGTTTGAGACTTCTGATCTTTTCCCTAATGCGTTCTTAAAAACATTCTCTTTTGGTCGGATTCATTATTTTCAATGGTCTTTGCTTCTTCTGTTGGAAATGTTTGAGAGTCAGTTGCTACACATAACTGAACAGATGAGATGGTGATCTGTCCAGCAGCTCTTATTTCATATCTTGTAATGGTATCATACACTTCAGCTTTCAGTTACTGTAGGTATTGAATGGCTTATGAGAGAAGAGAAATTACATGTAAATTTCTTCTGATGAAAAGGCATACTTGACTTTTCTAAAAGTAATTCCCTCCAAATAGAAACATTAGGTGGCTAAGTAGTGTATCAATGAGACATATGGTGTTTAATAAAATAATTCTGTGACGGGTGAAGGATACCTACAACTGCTTGTATACCTCTGTTATTTAGGTCCCCAAGTTCTACTTCTTGGTTTTCCACAACAGACAGGAACTTCAAGCCATAAAGTCAGTATCTTGCTGACTGCAAAGCATTTTGTACTTCAAAAACACATGGGTGTGGAATTATATTAGAAATTTTGATCAGTCCCATGTACGGATAGGAAAATGTTACTCAGCACTTTCTGTTGCTGTTGCAAAGCATTTCAGGCAACACGTGGAGTGCATGAGCCAGCACTATCCTTTTGCAGTATAACACACAAGCCGAGAAGGTCCCTGGATAAAGAAGGTTGTGTCTTCTGTCACTTTTAGAATTGTTACCAAGATCAGGAAAGTCACCAAACCTGTCCCTCTCTACAATGCTAGAGTATAGTATTCATTAATTCATTAATTCATTAATGACACACACACTACTGACCAATATTGTAGTGCACATTCAGTACTGTACATTAGTTCAGGTGGGTAGCTGCGTCAGCATGCGTAAGCTGCAAAGGAATAAGAAATAGGTTTATTCCATGCTGAAAAAAAAGAAGAAAGAGAACAAAATGTTTCGGTTGTGAAGCCTTCTTCAGGCCGTGGAGCCTTCTTCAGGTGTGAGCACCTGAAGAAGGCTCCATGGCCGAAACGTTGTGTTCTCTTTCTTCTTTTTTTTCAGCATGGAATAAACCTATTACTTGTTCCTTTACTGTACATTATACTTGTACATTGTGAGTGGTCATTACCCCTGGGTGTCACAGAACAAGAGGTACAGTACCAGCATGGTGAGGACTGGTTGTGACTATTCCTGTTAACTCTCTGTAAGCAGGCTAGACATGGAGCAGAGCACTCCCAATAAAACCTCTTCGGTCCTTGAACCCTGTAATTAAACAGAAGCACCCAGAGATCTCCACTGTGTGTCTATCAGGGAATGGGACAGGGAATTTTGTGCATTTATTTGGGGGTGCATTCTAATAAGCTTTCCCAGGCAGTTCTAGGTCACAAACAGCCTTGAAGAATACTCACAAACGGGGGCACAACACAGAGCATGGAAACACATTGTCCTCTTAGCCCTACAAAGTTCATTTTTCATAGTCAAGTTGACAGGTTCAATGAGGCTCATTTTCCATAAATAGGAGTATGACTATCCAGAGAAAGGTGTTGCATCACAGCCGAGCTCTGTGGCAGACACAACAATGACAATAATATACACAGATGATTCAACTATGTTCTTGGTTTAACAACGGCTACATATTACACACATTTCCAAGTTATTATGCACTTCAACAGACGTACAGCAAGTGTTGAAAGTAAGTGATATACCCATAGGAAAGTGATTTCCATGCCATCTCGGGTACAGAAAAAATAATCAAAGCCGTTCCTAACTTAAAGAATTTATCAGAAAGAATTTAAATGTATTTATTTTTAATAACATATATAACGTCTAGACATTAGAAAGTGCCATCTTCCTTTGTGGCTTATAACGGACAAAGTGGCAAAAGCAGAATAAAATGCAAAACAATTATACTGCAATGACTAATGTAGAACACTAGGTGATAGTGAAAAGTAAAGAATCAACGCAGTTCGCTTAGCTTGAGATTTGCGGAAGTTTTTTCGATGCCCTGGAGACAAAAAAAAGGAACTGATTCAATTCTCTTCATAAAACACGCAGCCTGAAACACCAATCTGCTATCATGGGACAGGCAAAAACGGAGCAGCCCGAGTTTTCGTTCGTGATCACTCAATAATTTACTTGTGGAAAAGCTAAAATGACGCTATACTTTTTCTGCTGTATTGTTATTATCGCCTGTCAAGATTTTGGTCATGGTCATGAAACGTACAGATTTGATAAAGAAATCAATAACATAGCTATTGGGAGAAATAAATTGTACGTGGCTACTGATAATTGCATCTATCAAATGAACTTCAGTTTACACTGTGAAGTAAAGAGGAAGGTCTCGGGAGTAAAAGACCCCAACAGGATAAAGCTTTTAGTAGTTTATGAAGAAAACAGCACGTTAATCGCTTGTGGAAGCAGCACGGAATGTGGTGGTTGCGAAGTGCTCGATCTAAATAATATTTCAAAAACAATTTATTTTGAAAACGTGACCATCGTTCCTATCTACCCTGACAAGTCTGCTCTAGGATTTCTGATAAAAACGAAGTCAAAAATAACGTACCTGACAGTTGGGGCAGTGCACGGAGATGAAACGGATTGTAAGTATGAAAAACACCTGATAACGCTAAGGAACATGAAGGATGGGGGGGAAGGAATATTTTCTTATATAGGAAGCAGTTCTTCACCATACATTAAATTGACTGAAAAAAATGAAAAAGCCACAGTCCTACATGTAGATTTTGTGGACGGTTTCCAGTTTCAAAATAGTATTTATGTAATTATGAATTTGAAAACAAACAGTGAAAGAGTTCGAATACTTTGGATGAAAAACGAAGATGACAAGCAAAAAAGTTTGGAATCTTTAAGAGGAGCTACCCTTCTCTGCTGCGAGGATAAAAACAGGACGGTGCTGCTCTCCTCTTCTCTGATTAATCGCGGACCCCCAGTGCTGTTGGCTGGTGTTTTCACAGCTAGAAGTAGTAATCCAGATAACACCGCGCTCGCCATCTTCAACATCACGCCGTGGACCAATGTAGACAGTGACAAAGACGAGGATTTGTGCTCCAGTGAATGTACTGAGGTGAGTAGTATTGTCCTTTGAGTTGGAAAGCAGGGAAATATTAACTGCATTAATTGAATTAAATTAACTGTAGTGAACTGATGCATTCATTTTAAACGAATGCTTGGAAATACATGCTGTACATGTGAAAATGAAAATATGCAAATTTAATGAAATATGAAAATTCCTATTGTAAATGAACAAAGAAATACTGAACTGTGTTGTTTGGGCTTACCTGTCATTCAATGCCTTTGAGGAAGAATGCGTTAAATACAGCAGAATTTACAATGCTTGTGCATATTCTGAAAAACAAGGAAGAGGAGGTTTTGCTCAGAAATTGATTTTTTTCATAATAAAATGGAATTTATCTATCAGTTTTGCCATGCCACTGGTACATACAAATAGTGGACTAACAATTGACACAGTGATGTAAAGTCACAGATATTAGGGCTTTGGACCACCAGATGAGTCCAGTTCACTTCACTGTACTGTATACAGTGCCTTGCGAAAGTA